ATAGCGTGGCTCTGAGACTTTATCTCGGTAGCTATAATAACGTTCACATGGTAGCGGAAAAACATTATCCAACCGTAGAAAATGTATATAGATCTCCTTATCCTGTTGAGAGTTGGGATTTGCCTTCGGATTGAGTAGTTTGGTGTAATCGTTTCCTTTCATTGTATCGCGATGATTCATGTAGGGGTATCCTTGGTTTACGACCTTTGGCCTTGATCTTATACGGTCCTACAAGGACCGGTAAGACCGAATGGGCACGGAGTTTAGGGTCTCATATTTTCTTTTCGGGTTTCTTTAATCTTTCCTTGTATCATGAGACTTACAAGTATGTGGTTTTCGATGATGTGGAATTTACGCGTATGGATGTATTTAAATGTTGGTTCAGTTCACAGGCTGAGTTCACCAGTACGGACAAGTACTGTCGGAAAACTCAGGTAGTTCACGGTCGCCCAGTTATAGGTTGCTTTAACCATGACCCTCGCTTAGCGAACTGGGCCGATGCAGAATGGATGGATGGGAATTGCGTGTTCTTTAATGTAATTGATAAATTATATCGCTCTTAAATATGTTACTCTCTAGGGGAATGTGATGGAGGAGGGGGCTTCGCCCCCTATCCCATCCGTAGCACTTCCTCCAAACGGTATTCACCACCATTGGACCCCACCACCAACCTAAAGAGAAGAAAATGGGTATTTAGATGTCCAAAAGAAAAGTGGAATAAGGATTGTGTTGAACCTACTGCTAGGAAAGGAGAGAGAAAGATTAGTCAGATGATGACTGGTTGTTTCTATGGTCAAACTCATGGTCTTTTTTTACCTGTTTTTCCTGATCCTACTTCTGCTGGAGGTGGAATGACTGGAAAGTCAATTATTGATGTTTATGATCAATATGACTTTCCAGGGATATGGGAGGATATCAAGGAGCATGTTGGAGAGGAAGAGGTATTTTTGATCATTGACAATGCTAAGACTCACTTGCCTTTCAGGAGATGGCTCAGGAGAAATGGAATTTCTCTGATGGAAATTCCTCCCTATTCACCAGACCTCAATCCAATTGAAAATGTTTGGTCTCTTGTGAAAGACAAGCTTCATAAGCACTATCCTGAGCTGTTTCTCCTGAAGGGCCCTGTCAATGAGATCAAAAAAATTATAGAGGAGGCTATCACTCATTGTTGGGAACTTCTGGACCCAAAGGTTTTTGATACTTTGGCAGGATCAATGGTGGATAGGGTGGAAGCAATTATTAAGTCTGATGGATGGTATACTAAATATTAATTTCTACTATGTATTTATATTTTTTTATTTTCTTTTGGGTTTTCATGATAGTGGGTTGGTGGGGGAGTGTGGTTGTCATCACCGAAGATTTTCCGGCCGTTGACAGCTAGTTAATTTTGTCCCCGGACAATAGATAGTTGAACAACCAGGACAGGTTGGATTTTTTTCTCTGGGGTTTTTTTTTTTTTGAGGTTTGTCTTGTGCGAAGAGGTTGATTAGCTAGCTTGGAGATTGAAGGTGATTGCAATTGCAAGGCATTTTCTTACAGTTCGAAGGTTTCATCAGTGATAGTTGGTGACTAGCAGGTTCTCATCCTGTGAAGTACACATACCATTCCGCTCATTTTTTTTGTTTTTCAGTACCTATGTTCCCCTGTGCTTTAGGCCCGTAGAGCATATAGTAATCGCTTTGCGATCTTCAACCGCATTCGTGGTAATTAGAGCCACACCGATTAATTCTCGGTGCCGGGTAGCTCCTCGTGATGTTACGAGCTAAGGAGTTTAACGTTAGCTGCTTCGTGAACTCCCTCTCCTTGGTGCTCGTCAACGGGTGGTGATATTTCTCGGAGGCCTGGCAGCGATGTAACTCGGTGGTTAGGTGTTCATGGGAGGCATCCCCGGTATTTGGGGTACAGATTTGACGGCCCGCCAGGGCTAGGATGCAAATATTACACACATTAAGGCAAAGACCAAACCGCCCAGAAAACCATATATGATGATCTTGAGTATGGTGGAAAGAGTTTCTGAGGAGTATAGGAACACATAGTTAGTAAACGGGACCTCACAACGCTCTAGGCTTTCTCAAACAACCCAGGAATTGGGCGCAAGTGCGACGAAGTGAAAATGTCTGTGGCTGGCAGTTTGGATATTTCCAGGCATGCGTGGGACCAAGTCGAGTTTAAGTATCCAATCTCATCCATCTCCACAGTTACCTGTCCTCCATGTGTCAGCTCGCAGAAAACTTGTAACTTGGGAAATAGTCATAATGATGCGGTAATACTGCTTTGGACCCCTAAGACACCTGTTGTCTTCATGCCGACTATCCCTATTGGACCCTTCCTCTCTCGTATCACACTCGAGCTACTGTACATAGACGATTGCTCAGATAAGGACCTGTCCTAAGGAAAACCCGTAAGTTGGCTCTTACACCGACAATGTGCAACTTTCTCTAATTCAACATTCGGTCTGTGCCCGCGTGCAAAATAAGAGATGGCACAAATGAACGAAAAATCAAAGCACAATCTGGGACCCCGCATCACAACCTAGTCCACTTGCAAATAATATGGACAATCCAGTGATAAATACGAGTATTGAGGACTATTCCTCACTGGAATGTAAGTCTTCCAGGAATGTCGTTAATCTTTGCTCAGGTCCTGTGATGTACGGCACCTTTTACGATCACCGTAAAAAAAACTCTTGTGGCAGGGAGGTTTGAAGATGGTGGTGCAACAACCAGTTCACGGTGTATTTTCCTCGCAAAAAGAGCAGTCCTTGGTGACTGTTTTCTCTGGATGGCGCTTCTTGTGGTCGGGGAGGTATGCCGTGGTTGGCAGCTTGAAAATTGAATTATTTTTTTGGTTGAAAAATACAGCAGTACATTGGTGTATCGAGGGCTTTGAAACCCCCCCCCGCGTCCGCCAGTAGGGACCGTATATACTGGCGAAATCTGGTTGACACTTACCTTTATGAAGCGGTGGTGGTGGAATCCACGATTGCGTCAATATCAGAGCCCTGAAAGGTTTACACCTGGCTGTAGAGACTTATCCCATGGCCTTTTTATGGCGATTTTCCAGACAAGCTTAGGATAAAATCTTATTTAAACGTACTAGCACCTCTCGGCCTTTACCAGTCTATGAGGGTGTTGGTAGAGATAGAGCACTACTTAAAGTGAGCCTGTCCGGTAAACCTCCATCCTACCAAAGTTCCTCTGACCTATCAATAACAAAACGCTTTATCTTATCATCATTATCTCGATCTCACCAAAACACACCTACTAGCGATGGGCATGAGCATACCCGAGCAGACCATGGGGGCCGTGTATGATCGCGATCCGACCAAGGACCCCACAACCGATGGCGATTTTTTTTTTCCCCTATGCCCTGGGGGGGCACTGCCAGTGCCCAAGTCAAATTGAGCTACTCCTCATCGCTACTTCCTCTTAGTAACGGTGAACGGTGAATGGTGATGGTCACAATCAGGTCATGATCTATCACCTTGTGTGTATATGTCTTGGTAATCATGTGATACCGTCTACAGTATCAGCACGCAGTAGAGTTCCATAAATGAGTTGCGCCCCGGAATATTGTCGGACCGCAACCTACCATAATCAACCGTACTTAACCGTGCTCGGTCATTTGCTCAAGCTTGTTGGAACCCAGCCCAGACCCCGACGGCGACTGCGCTCATACTCCCTATACTCCCTATCTCTCCCCACCTATCCTACGGCTCACGTCCGCATTCAGGTACCCACCGCCAGTGACGGGCCGAACCATAATCTGATCGAGAAGGCCCCATTGTCGAATGATCGGGCACGGTCACTGCGGCAGCATGATTCAGTGTGCACAGAGAGTGATCGATCATGATCTACTCGAGCAAAACTGGGGCGCAGTCATGTGGCGTCACTCGATGGGGTGAGCCGTTCCCGGAGCTTGTCGAGGTAGGGCTGTGTAGGCCCCAACATGATAATTATATAATAATAATATTATTATTATGGTATATAATATTCAACATTTGGATATTACATACCATACACTATAAACTATGCACCACACTTAAGAAAAGATTTTGTACGCTGTACACCATCTTTTTGGTGTCAACATTGGATATTATAATATAGACTAATATATACGATAATTTGCGATTCATACAAAAACACCAAGCGCCGCCTAGAACTTCCCCATCGCTACCATCCTTCCCTTCTCCAAGAGTGACTTTCGAGCAACAACATCAACACTTCTATGATATGCACTGAAATAGCCAAAGTTGGATTCACCAGTTGGAATTGTATCGGGAAGCTATGATGCTCCGGGCCCTTGAATATTTTTGTCAAACGCTCACAATTTTTCATTCTCCAGAAAAGTATGGAACAGTACAAGCAGAAAAGTGAGAAAAGGGACATGGATAACAAAGAATGGTTTTGACACGGTAGTTTTGCCACTAGTAATCCACCGGAAACATTCCGTTATCTAGTCATTCTGCCTTTCCACCACTTGAAGCGTTCACCGCACTCTTCCACGATGTCGAATCTACCCTCAATTTTCCGGCGTTTGTGAACAATGGGAAAAAGATCGGGCGGTGCCTCAAGATTTTGGTGGCGGCGTAATGGTTTCCCAATCCCGTCGGGAATTGGATAGGATCGGATAACCTATCGTGGTCAAATTGACTCCGACTCCACACAACATCCCCCACACAGGCAAGTGCACTACTGTGTACTCTACTGTACTAGTGCTCGCACAACCGGAAAACACCCAAATACGCACCCCGTCCAGATATACACAGTTCCTATTGATTGGCTTGGCTAGGATCGCCAGGGTCCGGCCAGCCAGTAGCGAATTGTGTCCTCGGAATATTTGGACGAGATGTGTGTTTGGATGCTCCGTCGCTGATTGTGACGGCATAACCCAAAAGCCCGTGTCCAACGCATCTCTATCCAGGCACGTAGGGTTGATAGCACTGTACCGTACAGTACCAATATGAGCAGTAGTAGCATGAACATAGTAGCCGCAGGAGATCGTAACCCATCATGAATTCTTTCCAAAACCTCAAGCAAGCGTAAGCCAAGAAAGGAAACTTCTGACCATGGACAAAGCTAAAAACAGTTACTGAAGTACAGTACCAGAAAACGAGATCAAGAACGGAAACCCCCGCAGGGTATAATAACAATAATTCCTCAAAGGTACTGAATAATAGTAAGCAGGGGTGGGGGAGAATAAAATAAATAAACCACATTAAAGGACAATACAATAAGAAATTAAACGAAAAATCCCCACTCAATAAGCAGCCTACACTATTTCCCTCCCATCCCATCCTCTCAGCCACCACTCTCACCCCTCACACCTAATAGTAGCCCCTCCTCCCACTCAACACCACCGCTCCCGGAACCTCCCGAGTGCTAACCCAACTCCCCCTCGGCGACGAATACACATGCCGCACGCGCGCGGTACTGCTTCTTCCCCCACCGATACTCGACGTGGAAAAGTAACTCCTCCTAGGAGTCGCAGCGTATTCGCGGGTGACCCTCCCTTCGCGGTAAACGTGGACCCGGCGCGCAGGCGGGTAATCGTCGTCGCGGGAGGATATTAGGCACATTTTTTTATTCTGTGGGCCTTTTTCTTTTTTCCTTTGCTCTTGTTCGAATGTTTATATAGGTGGATGGGAGGAAGGGAGGATGGTTCGAGGTCCCGATATCAGATGATAGGGTTTGATCCGGTGCGATGGTTGATGATGGGGGGAGGGGGGGGCTTTATAACTGACTTTCTCGTGAGGAGGGGAAGAACAAGATGTCATATCTCACCTATCAGTACTGCGCTGTCTTCGTCGTTGTTGGGTTGCTATATCATATCATGGCTTGTGTGAGATAGAGGCGAGAATCATGGAACGACGCCGGCTACGTCATAACTGCAGTACTTTCGCCTCCTCGTTGCGCTCATGCTTACTGCTAGGCAATTTCGTACGACCTCGCAACCCCCCCAGCCTATCATAGTCCTAGGCTCTTTCCTTCCCCCACAATCTGCAAAATGCACAGCAACCTTTTTGACCCCTTGGCAGTGGGTACGAGGCTGGCATCAAAGATGATGAGCAGTGTAAGGGTCTTCCACCGAAGACAGCCGCATTCATGACTTTCCAACCAGTGATCCGGTCAAGCAATCTAAACCAAATCTTGATCTATATATATAAAACAATTCCCTAGATTTTACTTTCTAACCCTTTAGAACTCTGTATCTAAAACTTGCTGAGGAACTATTGAGAGGGCTATGGTTGATACATTGATCTTGGAAGGCAATTCCTGATGATTTCGTATGGGAAATCGCAAGGCTTGGCACTGTTTTCAGCTTTAACTTTACAGTATTGAATTCCAAAGTACGAGCGAGTGCTGTAGCCAGCAATTCTTTAATAATCTGTGAGCACCTGTGGAGATATTTGAAAGGATTTTGGATTATTCTATCGATTTTTTTTTTTTTTTTTTTACAGCTACAGAATGTATTGAACGGAGAGAGAGCATGAAGTAGAATGGTTTGGGGCTGTTGTTACAAGCCATTCTGCTCACCATTTTTGACGCCAGCCTCGTATGATACTTGTAATCGGGAACCTTTGTATAATATCGGATATCTCTCGACGGGGGTCCGATAATAGCAAAAGAAACAATCGTCGAACCACACCATCTCCGTTACAATTTCAGGTAGCGAGTCCTCCCCTCCAAAAACGTCATGCCCGATCCGCAGGCTCAACGAGAACCCCCTCGTAGCCTACCCGCGATCATTCACAACATCTCCGAGAACGAATACATTAGTTCTAGCGCTACTACGAGAGGAAGAAGCCAGAGATAGAAATTCTGTCATAGAAAGGAACGGAGAGAAAGATGACATCTCTTACCCTTTCGAGAAGGGGGCATTGTATGTTAGATACTGGTCACTACCGATGGGGACGCCTTGAGAGCTTCTCCTGTATAATATTTTGGCCGGGTTGGGTGAATATGCGGGGTTGGTCTGGTTAGTACTACAAGTACAGTAGTAGGTTACCGGGTTGGTCTATCGCATATAACTGATATAATGGATTGGCCCGAGTTATTGGTTGGGTCACGAAAGAAGGCAACGGGATTACTCGTAATGTACGAGTACTCGTACTGTGCTTGTACAGCAGTGTCCATAGGCCATACAGCACGCGTCCCACAACACGACAGACGCGAGGAGCTTTGTCGGCTGGAAGTAGAATCTTTTGTTCTCCCCTATAGGTTGAAAGTACATACAGGCTTCGAGCACTGGCCCTCATACCGTACCCAGTCCATACCTGTACAACGTCCCATCCAGCAGATTACATACTCGAGTACTCGAGTATATATATACATGCATACATGCATACATACATACATACATACATACATACATACATACAACACGAAGAGAAGAGGAAATGAGGTTTACGAGAATTAGATGATTAAACACCTTCTATAGAATTATACAGGCCGGGGATTCAAAGAAATAGAGAAGCAGATTTATGAGACCAAGTCTGGGAACGGAAACAAACAAAAAAAAAAAAAAAAAAAAAAAAAAAGAACCCAGACAGCAGAAGAATTAATATTCTACGGCAGACAGTAGAGTGATCAAATCGAATCAAATCAAACCAGAGACCATTCCTGTGGCCGCTCCCGCCGGTCGTAATAATTATCTTGCACAGGTTGCTGCTGCCGCCTCGGCCTTTGAGGGGGAACCTGATACGGGTTCGCTTCATAAGCGCCGTATGCATTCTGCGCTGAGTTCCTGTACCCGCCGTTCCCCCGCTGCGGTTGCGGCTGTCGAGGGAGATAATCGTTGTGGCCGGCGTTATGTCCTGCGTGTTGACCGTATCGCCCTCCTTGATAGTATACCCCACCCTCTGGGTACCCCGCGACTGCAGGGGGTAAAGTCGGGGAATATGCGGATGCAGGACTTTGTGATCTAAACGCGGCCGATCGGTCACCATATGCATCCCGCTGATAACCACCAACCGGCGTCGGAGTCCTCTTGTTCGGCTGTCGTAGAGCCTGTAAAGGAGTCGGAACTCGGTGTTCGTGTTCTAGCCCCCGAGCTTCCGGTTTCAAACTTCTCTCACTTCCTACCGCTTTCATTGGCGTCAACTCGTGTTCCTCAACCTTCACCTCTACAGCGATTTGCTCTGTGTTTTCCAGAGTCGGCATAATGGGTAGGGCATCGTCATTGTGCGCATCGAAGTATGCATATTTAGGTGGTTCCGGGGCCGGCGGCTCACGCGTTACGAGTGAGGACGCCAGTGGTGAAATTTCGGCTTTCATCTTTTTCTCCCGTCGACCGCCGCACCCTCCGCAACAACATGTGCAACACCGATACCCGCAGAGGCAACAGCGCAGGAAGCCCCATAGAATAGAAAGGACGATTATTCCACCGACAATGCAGATTACTATAAAGGGAATTCTGGGACAGTTAGTGGTGTGGGGCGATCGTGGCGGACGGGACCCAAGCCCAAGTGAAGACATAAAACTCACTTGCAATATTTTTTCTCCATACCTGGTTCCCTTTATTAGAATGGTTCAAATAGATAGGAATATTCCAATTCATGGTCCATATTCTGCCTACCATAATCACGAGGAGCAAAACTCACATGTATCAAAGGACCTTAATGAGGCACTCAAATCTCGCCAACCGCTAGCGATATCCCGCCGGATGACACCCATACTGTATGTGTTGTAGACTCCCTCGAAAAGCAGAATAGTCTGCCAGCTTTCCCACCTCTGAAAGAGACGATACCCAGCGTCTCGGGTGCAGAATCTGTTAAAGAAGATTGAGGCTATGAAACCCGGGTTCGATACGCAATATTCAAGGGCCACCAGACATGAACGGCCCGACAGACGGCAAACTTGATGGTGAAGAAGAAAAAAAAAAACAAAGAATTTACAATAAACTAGCACACCCCAGGCGTGATGAAGGATGATGAAGAGAGGCGGGAATTCGGAGATTGCCAGCAAATGAGCGACCGGGAGCAAAGAAAATAGAAAGGGAAGGAAACCAACACGGGGCTTTGGAAAAGGATCGCTGTCTCCGAGAAAAGGAAGAAACGGGGGAGTGAGGAGGAGGCGAAAGGGCACACCCGTGATGGGAAAGAGTACCGGGTATGTAGAAAGATTATGGGCGAGACCGACTACACGGGGCAGAAGCCACACAGGATAGCGATACCGGAAGTACAAAGCCAAATGCTAGCGAAATTGAACAACGAATTCAAACATGCACATGGAAATCAAGGAGCGACAGGACACAGGGCACAGGGGAATTTGGCAGGTTGACAGAGTGCTCACCAATGTTAGGAGTGGTTGACACTCTATTTGTGACAAGATGAATCCTCTCCCATACAAGTACCAGACTTTGTTTGCGGTCGCATCGCATTGCGATAATTTAATGGTCTAATCAAAACCAACCCCTGCCATCCGCCACGCTTGGCGGCCGCTCAGTGGGAGGATCCGGGGGCGCCAAAATCGCGTCAACTGAATGGTGGGCTTTGTCCATGAGTTTCAATTGGTCTCCATACCATGCTATAAATATGGGTATCCACAGCCAAAAGTAGATGGCCGGAAATATTCAGAGACTTTATGGAACTCCTGAAGCCGCCGGGCCAGATTCGCTTCTTGTATCCCGTTGAAGTCATGGAACAATCTATCAGGGGTTTCATAGGGTCTAGAGGTTTGCGTCCCGTCCCATAGCATCATAATTATCTTCGAACAATTGGCCTGGTGGGGTCGACACTCCATCCCAGATCCACCCCAGGTAGAGCAAGGGCAAGAACAGTAACCATGATTTCATGTGGCATCGCGGGTAATCCGGTATCACGCAAACGTACAGCCGATCCCCGTTAAAACAATAGCACAGCAACTGTGGCCCAATTCGGATGCCCGAGTGCTTTCCTGTGACAGGAGGAGACTGCAAGATTGTGCGCGAGGCTTGTCGTTCGTACTCGAGTACAGTGCATGTGCCTGTAGCCATTCGGGACAGTGTGATACTGTTTACTGTTAGTCAAGCACGGAGAAGCATATGTGAAAGCTCGAGTCGGTTATGGCAGCACCTGTTGGGCTTTGTTGGGATTATTGTTCCCATTGTGCCCATCATACGCGCTACAGTATTTGTACGGACTACTGGTACCTTACTTACAATTACCGGTATTTTCCTTTAAGGCCTGATGTCCTACCGGTATGCGTTCGGATCGAGTATGACAATATGATGCGAGCACTGTAAAATCTAGGGCATCTCCCAACTCGTGTTAAGCGATACGGCATCATATCATAATACTGTAAGTTAAGGCTGATAAATACTGTACGAGTACGGCTCAGACCCATGCACGAATTACCATCTTGGCAAGCGTATCATGACGCGCGCTTCATCCACACCTGCGGTTCTTCCTCACCCAAACATGGCCCGAGCCTGGACCCGCGATAAAGAGCAAACTTCCTCTGCGGAAGAGCAGATCCCCGAGACACCGCCTGACGGCGTCGAGATATACACTGATGACAATCCACCTCCGAGATCTATATATAAGTAAAGTTTCCACCTCCGGCCCATGATTTTTTTTGCCCCTACCCGCGAATCATGGCCCTCATAGCGGCTACCGTCTGACAAAAGTGATTCGCTAGTTACTGGTGCCAGAGATACAGTCTATTCACTCGCTACGACGAAGACGTTTGGATAACACAGAACGGGTGGTTTGAGGTAACTCCTGAGAAGGTTGCTAGGTAAGTTTAGCCCTAGAAGTCGGAGACCTTCTCCCCCCCCCCTCATTCTCTCCTTTACCGAAAGTTCTTCCCCACTAATCTTCCCCCCCCCCTTCCACCAGGAAGATAGCCGACCACGTGCTTGGCAGCCCTGTCGAGACCATCCTGGACGTGTTCTGCGGTATTGGTGGTAATGCTATTCAATTCGCTCTCTCCACCTCCTGCAAACGCGTGATCGCGGTGGATAAGGACCAGACGGCGATTGACTGCGCGAGACATAACGCGAGGATTTACGGTGTGCTGGACAAGATCGAGTTTGTCGTTGGCGATGTGTTCCAGTTGATTGAGAAGCAGGATCCGAGACTCGCGGCGGATGCTGTATTCATGTCACCGCCTTGGGGAGGTCCGAGTTATCGCGGTTTCGGTGTGTTCAATTTGGATACTCTGAAGCCGTATTCGGGGTATGTCCTGTCCCTTCCGCATGTTTGCTGGGGATGTGCTGATGGGTTCGAGGGACAGGGCGTATTTGGTGGAGCAGGCACAGAAGATTTCGCCGAACTTTGCTCTCTACTTACCCAGAACTTCAGACCTCAACCAGATTGCGAAGATAGTGCCTGGTCGAAGGATACAGGCTATCCATTACTGCGTTCGACAGAGGAGCAAAGTGCGGGGCATCCTTTCATGCCTTAACATTTGTTTGGAGCGATTGGCTGACTGGTTGAACGGAACTGCGCTAGACCTTGACGGTATATGCGGGGTGTTTATCAAAAGTATAAGTATTGATTCTATTGACTTGATGGAGGAAGGGTTCAAGCGGGACTCACCATCCCCAGGTGCCAAGTAAGTAGGGATATACATGTTACCGCATAGCGCTAAACAGGCAAGTATAATGTGCAGTAATATACTTGAGTAAATTTCCCATTGGAACTACCGCGAGCAAGTACATAGCACGGAATCCGAGCATAATCCACAGGTGGTGTGGTGTGGTACCCTCTCCGGTCCGAACCCCATCCACTACGCAAGCAGCCCCGCCGGCCCGATATGATACCTGACCAAAAATTACCGCGTAGTATGAACATGAGCACAGGCACATAGTATTTGAATTCCGCGCGCCCGTGGAGGGAGGGGGTACGATGCGAGTACCGGTACCGTAATAACATCGTGTGCCAATTAGCGCACCGCTACTCTACCATCAATACCGATGGGGCATTGCTTTTTTCGTGATCCTTCCCACCAATCACCCACCACATCGAAACGGTTGTTTGCGGGACCATTGCGGATATTGTATCAAAAATAAAAGCGGAGATCCTGGGGTTCTGTACTACGCCGCAAATTTGATACCACGAGCACCATAGCTGGACAGTGCCAGTACCGGCAGTACTCGTAGCACGAACGTGAAATGTGACTCTCACAGCTGCAGCACAGCCAGGCAGCCTCGTTCATATCGAAGATGAAGAGAGAGAGAGAGAGAAAAAAACGGTTACCGATACTGATTTCGTTTTACGGTATGATACTCATGGATGATACGGATTTAGCCGTATAGCATTCGAAACGGGGGCTATGAGAGTTTGTGCGTGGCAATTATGTTCAATTGACGGCTAATCACTCAGTAGGCGTCGCACGGTCCGGTGGAAATACCATATCCAGCTTGGGTTCCCACTTGCAGAATTACGGGAAGGGTCTTTTGTTTTCCTGACATACAGAATCACTCATTGAGGGAAGAAGGTTGGATGGGCTGAGCTCACGGTGCGGTAGAAGGCAAAGGCAGCAGCAAAGGGAAGATGGGTGAATTGGGAAACTCGTACAACTAAATACCGTAGCCAACCATCGTATTGCTATAAACAAATCATATTAGAAAGCACACAGCTTTGACCATAATTTTTCACCATTGTGATCTGACTACCGTAGTTGACATATGCTTAATAATGGAGTTCTTTAATGTTTACATTTCTAATACGAGCAAATTATGATAGACTGCAAGTCCCCAGAACGCCGCGTCCAAACGGATTCCGCGAAAGTGTCATGGATGTGAGGAAAGAAGACATCGGAAAGCACTACGTATCGGTGGGTTTATCAATCAATTGGGAATACGATGCGCCTAGCATTTTAGCCCTTCTCCCTTCTCCGGATTCGCACTGGATGATCTATTGGAGGTTTGCAGTATCATACTACTCGTAGCACAAGTGTCGTACTTGCTTGGTCCCTGCTTGCTCCCCCCCAAAAGGACACATATCAGGAACACTTTGTGGCGGGTTGCAAGGGATCCCTCGAGCCCTCGCCAAAAGACCACAGTTTCCTCTGCACAAATTCCACCAATCAGGGCTAGTAACCCTCACCTAACCCTACTATGGCCGTGAGCCCGCCTTTGCATTCAAGAAGACCTCGCCCAGCTCTTTCTTTTCGTTCCTCTGTCCCTGCCCACCACAACAACGCTCCCTCCACCACGTAGCCCCCTCGTTTCATTCTTTTCTGTATCCATCTCCATCCAAAAGGAACACTGCTCTTTTTTAGATCCACGATAATGAAGCACTTCAAGGAGCTCACCGCCGCTGTCTTGACCCTGTTGGCTACCGTTGCATATGCTCAGGATGGCGAGGCCCCCTCGGCTCCCTCAGATGTCAATACTCTTGGAAAGGAGACCTTCGACTCTTTTGTCACGGAACACCCATTGGTCCTTGCTGAATGTAAGTTTGCAATTCCTTTATCGAAGCTTTGGCAAACGTGTTCTTTTTTTGGGCGTTTCTAGCCCCGAGGGCCTCACGCACACAGCACACTTGAGATTCCAAGCGAAAACTCGGAATGAGATTTTAGCTAACATCAATTTTGTCAGTTTATGCCCCTTGGTGTGGACACTGCAAGGCTCTTGCCCCAGAGTATGAAGATGCTGCTACAAAGCTGAAAGAGAAGGAGATTCCTCTTGCCAAAGTCGAGTACGTGGTCTTCTGTTCCGGATCTTTATTTTATTTTTTAGAACCAATCACTAATTTCCGCCTAGCTGTACCGTTGAGGCCGAGCTTTGTGAGAAGCATGGAGTTCAGGGATACCCGACCCTTAAGATTTTCCGTGGCCCAGATAACTCCTCACCATACACTGGCCAGAGGAAGGCTGATGCGTACGTCTCCCAATTACACCTATATATCACTGTTAGATGCTTAATTCATCGCTAACCATTCGGCAGTATCGTTTCATACATGACAAAGCAGGCTCTTCCTGCTGTCTCACTCTTGGACAGCGATACTATCACTGAGTTTAAGACTGCCGATAAGATTGTTGTCGTTGCCTATCTCTCACCTGACGATAGGGAGAAGAACGCCACCTTTACTAGCGTCGCGGAGAAGCTTCGTGATAGCTACCTCTTTGGTGCTACCTCTGACTCTGCTCTTGCTGAGGCTGAGGGTGTCAAGGCTCCCGCTGTTGTTCTTTACAAATCCTTCGATGAGGGAAAAACCGTCTTTGATGGAGCCTTCACCGCGGAGGAGATCACAAACTTCGCTAACCTTGCTTCTATCCCTTTGATGGGCGAGGTTGGCCCAGAGACCTACTCTGGATACATGGCCGCCGGAATTCCACTCGCCTACGTTTTTGTTGATAACGAAGAAATCAAGGAGAAACTTACTGCCGCCATCAAACCAATTGCCCAAAAGCACAAGGGCAAGATCAACTTCGCTACTATTGATGCTGTCGCCTATGGTGCACATGCCGGCAACCTTAACCTTGAGGCCAAGTGGCCCGCTTTCGCCATCCAAGACACCACAAAGAACCTCAAGTTTCCTTTTGACCAGGAGAAGGAGATCACCGAGCAGTCTCTCACCGAGTTTGTTCAGGATTTCGTTGATGGCAAGGTTAGCCCTAGCATCAAGTCTGAATCCGTCCCGGCGACTCAAGAGGGGCCGGTTCACGTTGTTGTCGCCAACAACTATGACGAGATTGTCATGGACAAGGACAAGGATGTCCTTCTCGAGTTTTACGCCCCGTGGTGCGGCCACTGCAAGAACTTGGCTCCCAAGTATGAAGAGTTGGCTGCCCTCTACTTCAACAACCCTGAATACAAGGATAAGGTAATTGTCGCTAAGGTGGACGCTACTGCCAATGATGTTCCTGTCGAGATCCAAGGATTCCCGACCATCAAGATGTACCCCGCTGGCGCAAAGGATTCGCCAATTGACTACTCTGGTTCCCGCACTGTTGAGGACCTTGCCACCTTCATCAAGACCAACGGTAAATACAAGGTTGACGCTTATGTCGCACCTCCACCAGAGCCTGAGGCCGAGGAGGAGGAGGCCGAGGAGACCGGGGCTGAGGAATCAGCGGAGGAGACTCCTGCCGGGTCAACCGCGACAGCTGCTACTGAGACTGCTAAGGAAGGTGTCAAGAAGGCCACCGATGCTGCACAAGCTGTTGTTGGCGATGATGACGATGTAGGTATCTCTCTATCTCGAGAACTCCAACTCCTGCTAACAACCTGATAGGTAGCTCATGGGGAATTGTGAACGCTTGTATTTAACTAAATTTCGAGGCGCATTGTTGGTGGCGAGGGTCGGGGTAATGAGGTCTTGTGTCATTCCATATTATTGACGCAGGCTGCTTACGCGGTTTTTTCTTCTTTTTTTTTTTTCTCCTTCCAATGAACCGGTCCCTTTTCTTGCTCCATGGGTTTTATATGCTTTTACGATATGGGTTTCTTTTCTCAATGTGACTGTACAACGTTTTCAAAAGTTATCGCATTAAAAACATCTAAAAATATCCGTTGGGAATGTGCTGTGATTCTATTGCAGAAAGCTAGCCTTCTACCGGTATCACGGATGAAAAATGGCATTCCGTCTAATGCATCCTATGCGAGTGATATGTGAGGAACCTGTTGTGTTTATCGTAGGCTAGGCGTTGCGGCTCTTGTGAGTCGATATATTGGCGTCACGTGAGACAAGATCGGCTAGAATAGCTTGGCTAAGCTCTTGGTTCATGCCAGCCAGTCGTCCCCGCCATTCATCGAACATCATCATCTACGATATCCACATGTCTTGGCTCAAGAAGTTTCTACCAGTTGCAGAAGAGGCTCCTCGGGGGTTTGGAGCGGGCTTCGGCTTTCAAGTGCTGAAGAATACCAGCCCGCTGTTAGAAATAGAGCCTTGGTTCGATTACATCTGTGGCATCAATGGCCGACCGATCGTCAGTCCCTTCCATTCCATCCTCACCTGTCATCAGATATAGAGCTAACCCCCCCTCCCGACAGGAAGACGGAAACGCCATGCTCTTCAAGCAGGAAATCGGAAACTGCGCAGGCCGGGACGTAACCCTCCGCGTGTGGAGTGCCAAGGGTCAACGCACACGGGATATCATCATCCCTCTCCCGCCCGATGCCACGGGCCTGGGCCTAACCCTGCAGTGGGTCTTCCTCGCCGCGTCGGAGGACGTCTGGCACATCCTGGACGTAGCGCCCAATTCCCCGGCCGACCATGCGGGCCTGCTCCCCTACGGCGACTATATCATCGGCACCCCGGAGGGCGCCGTGCGCGGGGAGTCTGCCCTCGGCGAGCTGGTGGAGGACTTCATCGAGCGCCCGCTGAGACTGTACGTGTACAACCACGAGTACGACGTGGTGCGCGAACTGGCCATCACCCCGCGGAGGAATTGGGGTGGGGAGGGCGCTCTGGGTTGCGTTTTGGGGTTCGGTGCGCTACACCGTGTTCCGCCGCCGCTGACGGAGCCGCCGAATGCGCCCGGGGAGACCTTATTCGATTCTGGCGGCGGCGGCGGCGTGGCATCGGAGGTGCACTCGCCGGTGGATCAGCCGAACTTTATCACTCCCGCTAATATGTACCCCGCTGCCGCTACGCGGACTCCTCCCCCACCTCCTCAGTTCAGGACACACTCCCCCGTTGGCGGGCACTACCTGCCACAACCGCCGAAATCGGGCTCCGTAAGACATAAGCCCAAACACCACGCGCACCACATGAACCCTTCTGCCATGGATGCCTTCATGCGCGAGGAGGAGCAGAAGAGCAGGGAGTTGGACTACTCCGGGTCTGGAAGGAGTTCTCCAGCTGCGGGGCCGCCACCTCCGGCCAGGGGTGGCCCCCCGCCGCCAAGAAGGATGGGAACGCCGTTGGCGCATGCGACAGAGTTAACTTGAGGAGCAGGGGAATTGTGATAGATTTGGTTCGCGTGGTGTGTGGTGTATTTCTACTGGATTCTTCTCATTTCTTTTTATGCGTAGAAATTTGAATGTCCGCTTTAATTGATTGTGATCCTAACTTATTCTAGCACGGCAGACGATTCATGTTGTCTTGTGATAGTTTCCGTACTGCCATGAGTCAGAGAACTTGCTGTTGTTGCGGGATTCGGGCGCAGCAATTTCTGCACGGGCCTTCTAGTTGCGACCTGTGCTTAACTTGCGATACGGCACAGCACACGCTTCCTTGGCAATTCCCATTTACTCGGGTATGGATGTAAATGATGGGACGGACAGGGGTTTTTGAGTCCGGGCGCTCCTAACTGTCAGAGGGAAAAAAATATTTAATTTGGTAGGAGCGATGCCAGGAGGGGTAAGAAGCTTTGATATAGCGAACCCCTGTCCGTCCCATCATTTTAATCCATACCTTAGTACACGTTACCGTGCAGTACATCCCGTCGCGTCACGCGAAAACCCATGACTTCAACCGGTACTTCAGCTCTTACTTATCTTACACCCCCTATCTTCTTTCTTCTGCTTCTTCCTCCACCTCCCTCTTGATCCATCCAATCGAACAAGAATAGTAATAATAACCACATAATCCAATGTCCCCAACGACCAAACGCAAGGCCCCAGAAGCCGATACGCCAAAAACCACAGTTAAAAAGGCTAAATCGATCACCTCCTTCTTCACACCTGCCGCCCCCTCCAGCGGCGGCCCTTCATCCTCGACGCCCAGCTCCTTCAATAAGGAGAAATGGCTGTCAAAGTTGACAGCGGAGCAAAAGTCGTTGTTGGAGCTGGAGATAAACACGATGCACGATTCCTGGCTGTCCGTTTTGAAGGACGACCTGGTAACGAACGAGTTCTTGGGCTTGAAGCGCTTCCTGAAGGGTGAGAAGGAGCTTGGGAAGAAGGTTTATCCTCCGGAGGGGGATATCTATTCTTGGAGTAGATATACGCCCGTTGGGTCCGTGAAGGTTGTCATACTTGGGCAGGACCCTTATCGTACATTCCCCCCCCCACTTCCAAGCATTTTTGTCAGGAGCTGACAAAAACAAAAACAAAAACGCAGATGGCGCAAATCAGGCTCACGGTCTCTCCTTTTCCGTACGCCCTCCAACCCGTGCGCCACCTAGTTTGAAGAATATGTACATCGCACTGAAGAAGGACTATCCGGACTTCACACCCCCGGCCGGAGGCCTCGGCCTCCTGACGCCGTGGGCGGAACGCGGCGTCCTGCTGCTGAACGCGTGCTTGACCGTGCGCGCCTCGGAGCCCAACAGTCACGCCAACAGGGGGTGGGAGAAACTCACGCAGAAGGTGATAGACGTCGTCGCCGCAAGGAAGGGGGTGGTCTTCCTCGCGTGGGGGAAGCCGGCGGAGAAGAGGGTTGCGAAGGTTGACAAGAGGAAACATGCAGTTCTGCTCGCCGCACATCCCAGTCCGCTCAGTGCATCCAGGGGTTTCGTGAGTCTTACCCCATTCTTCCCGGCGACTGGTTGATTGGTTGATGTGGGGTGGAGGCTGATTAGTTTTCTTATTCTTTTCGGGGGATAGTTCGATTGCGGCCATTTTAGAAAAGCGAATGAGTGGCTGGTTGAGCGGTATGGTGAGGATGCTGAGATCAATTGGAGCTTGGCAGTTACCGTCGTTCAGAAGAAGCCCGTCGCGAAGCGGAAGGTGGAGGAGGTGGAAGCCGAGGAGGTTGGTGATGATGAGCGTGAGCTGTTGGAGACGGGTAATCGCGAGGTTTCCAGAGTGAAGAAGAAGAGTCGTGCTAGGGATTCTCTGGGTGAAGTGTTTGATGAGGATGAGGAAGCAGCCATGATCGAGGCTACTATTGCTGCTGAGGTATCCTTGGGGTCCTGAACTCTCGTTCGTGGGGATTACAAATATGCTTGTTTAGTTTTCGCAGTTACTTTCTTTGATTAATTTATTTTTCGCTTGGTGCGGCATCTCTTAGTATTGCTATCACTACTGTTGTCACCAAAGCCTCTTCTAGGACCCGGTGCATGTGTACAGTACCATCATTATTCTCCTTCAAAAGAAAAACATCTCTATCAAAAAAGGTTTTTCCATTCTTCACTAGTGCGCAAACAAACCCTTCGCAGCCCCCGCATCGCCGGGTCTCACATAAGTATATCCAAGGAAGGCCCCTTTCTTCCTGGCCTCTAATATCTCCTCCCCGTACTCTTTATCCCGGAGTAACATATCCTTCGCGCGAACCTGCAAGACCTCCGATTCGACTGAGGACTCACCACTAACGTTCCTGCTGCTGAAACTTTCGGTAAAGTACTTGGTGTCCGTATCATCGAGTAGCCCGTTAGGTACGAACGGGGGTATCTGCATATGCAATGTTCTCCAGTTTACCGTGGCAAAAAAGGGATGTGCCCTAATCTCTTCCGCGCCGTTTGAGTAGACGTAGTTGGATAGGTGGTCACTTGCGTCGTTGACGCGATAGGCTGTGGATCCGAGGCGGGCCTCTTTCTCGCATATGAGGGAGCGGATTAGGGATTCCATCTGCTGGGACAGGTGGGCAGTTGGGTCAAGTGCTAAATGTTCACTCCAATTCTAGGCTTGTCAGCATAGAGATTGACTGCGGCTGGCAAAACTGACCAACACTTTGATTCTAGACTCCTCTCTACTCTCAGCGTCGAATGGCGTGTATCCAAATAGGATCTGCAATCATTAGGTTATCTCATCTTTCTGGAATGTATATTCATACCTCATATGTTATCACCCCAAGACTCCACCAGTCACATCTGGCATCATACGCTTGTTCTCTGACGACCTCCGGAGCCTGGGCTAAATCTTAGCGTGACACCCACACCACTGATCATTGACCTACCATGTACTGATAAGTTCCAACGACGCTCCTCGCCATTCTCCTCCTCCCACTCTTATTCCTCCAACTAAGAACTCTTTCCCCGTGAGGGATGGTTGACACTTTGGTACTCAATACTCCAGCCAACGCGTTTCCTGTTCTTTTATCAATTGTGTCCCCACCGACACTGACCTGTGTTTTCTTGACCAACCCCCATCTCTGTTCCTCGAAATAAGCACTATCATGTGCCCAATGCCCCGAAAAGGCTAAACCAAAATCACAGATTTTCAAATGCCCTGACGCTGTTATACAGAAATTGTCTTCTTAGTGTTAGCGAAATGGAATTAATTGATGAAGAAAGGGAGCAAACCAGGTTTCACATCCCGATGAATAAAGGAAAGCTTATGCACCTCTTCGATACAAAGCACCATTTCGGCAACATAAAACCTTGCGATCTCCTCACTCAGCACCCCCTTCTCAATCAAGAATCCAAGAAAGTCTCCACCAATCATATATTCCATAGCAAGGTATAGATTCTCATCATCTTGAAAACTTGCTATCAGGGGCACAATCCACCTACTCCCTTCACCAGCAACGAGCAAATCCCTCTCGGCACGAAGATGGGCCTCCTGTCCGTTTTTCAGCTGAACCCCCTTTTGTATAATCTTGACGGCGAAAACACCGCCTTTCCTGTTTTCCATACGGGCAAGCTTGACACAACCGAAAGAACCCTTTCCGATTATTTTCAAGACGTTAAAGTCTCTTATCTGCAGCCTCGTCCGACACCGCCGAAGATATTCCGTTTCCTTTGCTCTCCAGTCGTCCCAGCACCTCGCTGCTTCTGTGGACCCTAAACCCAATTCCTTGATCAATCTCTCAGCGGCTCTTCTCCGTAGCGATCGTGGAGATGGCGATGCTAGCATTTTGTTGAAGTAAGTCTCCAAGTAAATTTTTGCGTTGGAAGCAATCTCCAAATCTCTTAGAGAGAGGAGTGGCTCCATTGGGGAGTTGCTGACTCCAATCCTTTCCCCGGGCTTGCGAACTATCATCGTTGCCTTGGGGGTTGGGAAGGGTGTAGCCGGGATGGCATCAGAGCGAGAATAACTTCCCGTTGGGAGGAGAGCTGGCTCGGGGAATATTATTGGTTCTGATGTGGGATGATGAGGAGTTGTGGTTATGTATCCAGTACCCTTTGGGTGTTTGTCTGAGAGCAGTTAGTCCTTAATTGATAGAAGAGGGAGATGGAAGGCGGATTACGCTTGAAAACACCAAATACTCGACGGAGCAATTGCTTTGGGCAGGAACCTTCTTGCTCCCAGTGGGGTTTCTCGCAACCGTCTTTTCTCCATTGGGCTGGAATAGACATGGTACTCACTACAGAAACTTTGGGTTGGAATTTGTGTTGATGTGGAGATAGAAGAGTGAAGGGGGAGGAATCTCGACGGCTAGCTCTAGTTTGTATCCAGAAGCTTCGGGGGATGGGCTGCGTGGCCTCCGTAAGCTGCAAGCGTAGATTGATTCTTGAGGGGAAGGGAGTAGCATACACATGCATTAATTGGAAAGATAGGCTCGGGATGATACACATTTCGTAAGGGAATGAAGGGAGTGGCTTTTCTACGGGGTTTTTATTGATGAACAGGACGTAGATGGTTTTACTTGTTTGATATCTTCTCTCTTTAGTCTTGTCTTGTACTTTCTTGTTCGCCCCGTTCAGCTAGTATACATTTTTTTAATACGCTTATCATTCTACCCCCGCTAGATTATCTCTAATGTGTTCACGTATTCCGCTGAGAAGTGGCACCGACTGGAAATTAGCTGGAGGCTTTAGGCCGCTGAGTTGCTGGGCGGCACAACTTCTGAGAGAACTAATATATCTTCCTGAAGTTCTCAATGCACTGTATCGCAAAGTCTCCAGGACACGACCAACGGATTACTGGAATGGCTCACGTGCTGTATGGAGGCATTCACTGCCATGAGTATGTGATTGGATGGAGAGGGGTGAGATTGTTCATATTAGTAAAGAATATCTTGCTGGTCCCCGAACACACCAAGCAGTTCATCACAGGATCGCCAAACCCAACTCCGCTTGGTCTACCCCCGAGTAGCCAACGGTCTCCACACAAATCACTTTCCAATCTGAGATTATGGAATCTTGTATTATTGGACTGGTCTCGGGGTAATTGTCGAACCCGGATGAACACTTCGTGGAATGATTTCTGAGAGGATAGCTGAAATGGGAAAGAGGAATTAGGCTCTACCTAGCGTGAGCGACAGGACAGGGCATTTGATCCCGTTAAGGGCCTATATCCCCCAGAAAGCCATCCCTTTCTTTCCGAACCCCCTCCCGATTCAAGTTATACGCGATAATTGAGCTTGTTTTTAGGTCAAGGAAGAGGAAATGACTTAAAGTCCTCCCTCACAAGAAACCACAAATTACGAGCAGAGGGGCTCGTTTTCAAACAAAAATCCTATCACCGTCTTTGGGTTAGGGCGCTCCTTGCTGCCTATATTCCTTGGTCTGCGTTCGGTTTTCGATCATGGATGGCGGGGGGAGGTCCAATCAGCTCCGAGGTGCGATGTTGAAAAGGGCCAGAGGGAAATACGACTCCTGGCTCTATAGAAACCTGCAATTATGAGATCATGGAAAAGGGTTTCTGATGTTTCTTGGGGACGTAGTAGAGTGGAACGTGCTGCATCCTTGTTAGCTAGGTGGCAAGTCATTTATTTCTACCTCTCATGGTTCGCGGTTCACATAATTTACCGCTGGCTTCCTGGGCCTTCCCACACAGCTACACACAATGCTAGAAGGCCATAGCTAAAGTGGGTCTGGTGTTGGAATGCGGTAGGCTCCTGGAAGGAAGTTGGGAATAATCCAGGTCGTAATGTTGCGTGCTGAGCGGAATCTGCGTTGAGAATTTTGCATTAGTACTACTGGGAAAGTACTCAAAGGGTAACCTTATATTTTTTTCGAGACCTGGGATAGTATTAAGCCTTCCGTGTGTACAGCATTACTAGATTGATGAACGAAGGCATGGAATTTGGGCTCCGGCTTGCTTACATCATCCCGGATGTCAATTATTACCTAACTTGTATTCTAAAAACCCCCATAGGAAATCATCGAGACCGTTGCTGTCCAATTCCATGACACTGTTGTCAATTACAATGAATGAGAGCCTTTAAATGCTAATGTTGCGATCTCATCCCATTCTAAATCGTGAAGCTATCGGTATAAAATCCTTCCCATGCCCACCTCCCTTACCTTCTTGTTATATTCACACATCACAAAGCATCATTCCAGCTCACACAACATCAAATAAAGTTACCTTATAATAACGACCGCTGACAGCTACATCCCCTCTCTATCAACATGACTTCTAGACGTAGCGGAAAGAGCCGTGCCTCCTGCTACAATGGGGGAGCTAAAGGACCTTTTTACTGGTGCGATTCCCATCGCGACTACCACAAAAACTGGGATTATGTTGAAGATTCTCCTGTGTATTCTGATGAGGACGATATCTACCATTCGGACTCCGAGGACGACAAGCAGTTTGCCAAGGAGGCCTCAAGGAGTAAGGGAAAATGGACTGCTTCGATAGGTTCTTCTTCGGGAGATACTTACAGGCGTCGTGAGGGACATGGAAGTAGGAGATATGCATATGAAGATGAAGACGAGGATGACTATTACACAGGCCGTTCCTCCCATTCCCAATCCCACAGCTCGAGGCATCCCTCATACCACGATTCGGAGGATTATCCAACCTCTCGCCGCACCCGCCGTTCTGATGACCAACTACCTCCAGACGGACATCGCCGGGACTCCCGCCGCCAACATGACCCTCCTTCCACATCTCACCGCAGACACTCGAGGCGCACCAATTCTCCCTCCGGGGAGCGCTCTAGGGTTCGCCTCTCACCTTACGGTGAATATTTCACGTCTCTCCAGGATTCTGCGGACCCAGGTGATGAAGTGATAGGTTGTTGCCACGACCGCTCCTGCATTGTCTGTTCGCAGCGCTATGTACCTGATGAACCTGATGAGGATGCTCCGCCACCACCGCCTTATAGTCGCTATCCTACTTCTGGAGGCCCGTCCGGTGGCAGTGGAGCTCGCAAGGAAGTTAGGTGGGCCGATGAAGAGGAGGAGGCGGAGTTGATAGTGGATGATTACTAGGAGAGCTAGATTAAGTATGGAGTCCGGATTGGAGGGGCGTTATATTCGGCAATATTTATGGAGGATGAAGGGGAGAGTGAGGGAGTGGAGCACGGAGGCGGAGATTACTGGCGATTTTCATATGTTCACAAGTGACAGTTGTCCTTTCCCGACGATTCCAGGGAAATATTTGGTCTTAGATTAATTGAAATTTCGGTGCAAGTCAAATAGATACTTGTCACCATGATTCCAGATATCTAATGTGTTTTTCCACGTGAATATGTCGGCATTGAATCTCTCAGGTAGAGTACAGTACGGCCAGCAAAGCACCGCCCGAGGCCTCGAGCGGTGGTGTCTTCCATAAGATTTGGCTCACTGCAGTGCTTTGGGTCACTCAAGTATTTTATATTCAAACCTCCCCTTCCTCCTTCCTTGCATTCTCCCCTCAGTGCTGATCCGTTTTTTCAAGGTCGGTAGGGACACACTCGCACGTGGCGAGAAGGGAGAGGGACTGGGGCGTAATGTTGGGCCATGGACACAGGGCAGCGACTACCTCAGATGATCCAGCCAGCACGCAGATCTACTTACTGTATCATACAGTATTGTGAAACCATCGGATCATGCTCGATCACCTCGATAGTCGCCTACACTTGACATTTTTCTAGCTGTAGCCACAATCGATCACTCGATCGGGGTCTACCGATTTCACTAATCATTCAATCACTGGGAACCCTCTCGATCAGATCATGATGGAGGACAACCCCCACAGTTCTGCTCGAGTAAGCATTCTACTGCGGTTATGATACCGGCACTTGTGCCCCCCTTACAGGCGTGCCGCAAGCTGGCGGGAGAGCAATTGTGGTCTTGGGGCGCAGGCATAGGGTAGCGACCTTACCAAATGATCCAGACACGCTATTGGCTCATTCAGGGATTGTGCACACAATCGACTGGGCTCTGGGCACCGGGATGCGGAATTGCGCTGGTAATGATATACGCAGGTGTCGGAGTCTAGAGGTGTAAGAGTCAGGATAAATGCTGGATGTCCGATCAAGTGCAGATATCCAAAGACACTGGAATAAGTGATGGGGTGTCAGGGGGTGATTGTGTAAGGCCAGCCATTGGGGGGGGGGGGGGGTTCTAAAGGGATGTGATATATGACTATCTGTGCACTGGGCAGAATGAGGGTGTATTTAAAAGACTATCGATGGCATCTCAATGTGGTAAGCACGGGTGTGTGGAACGATGTGGGGGGAATGAATCTGTAGTGAGAACATGCTGCAGATCAGACATTAGGAAAGGAACTGCATGTAGATATTTGGATATGGAATGACAAGAGTGGTGAGTGAGTGAAAGGTATTAAAACTGGAGACATTTCTTTTAGAACTGAGACAAGATATTGGAATCTGTTTGCCGATTGTGAGAGCTAAAAGTTATATTATTATACTAAAATCCCTAATGTAGTAATATGGCTTGAGAGGATCAAGTAATGTTAATATAGCAGGAAGAAAGGGCTCTGTCCGGTATCCCATAAGACCACCAAACCCAGCCTCACAGGTAAGTTATGATGTTGTGATACAAAGTATCATACATAACAAGCAAAGATGGGGATACTTGATCTACGATATCGATAAACCGAAACAATCAGATATCATAATATTATGATAACAGCTCGGTGAACACCACCTACTAAATAAATCCCACAAATCTAAATCTAAATTCATTGCATTATTGTGACCCTTTTCCCCAACTCGGTACAAAACTTATGCCTATAAAACGCCGAGACACGATACCGGAACGAGCAAATATGGAATGAACGACCGACACCGCGTTTTATTTTCATTATCGCTCACACGGTCGGCGGAATGTGTGAACTCTTTGTTGGCTAAGCTAAGACTAACGATAGGACTCACTTCTCGATCCACCTCTCTCCAATGCTCTTCCGCCAATGTCTTCCCCAATACTCGTAATTCATCCCCCCCCCGCGACTTCACGGGACATCACTCTCTCCATACTCCCCACCACCTGCTATATGATACCCAAGCTGCCGGGGCAACCCGGTACCCGAAACGAACCTGGGGTAATAGGGTATCGAGTGACATCCGGTGCACAGGAAAAGTCGAGAAGTAGGTAGGGGTCACTAGTACTGTACGTTTGTGCCGCATCCCACGAGTAGGTTAGTGGGAGTATTCCCCGCTGAGGGGACAGGCCGCACTGCCTAGGTCGGTCTATAAGCTGATGGTCGCCAGAGGTTGGGGTGCGCGGGCGCCATGATAGGGTTAGTCTGTGAACGCTCCCGAGCATCATACCAGGTGTGCCTTGTACGGCATGGAACTAGCCAGCTTTACGCGAAGTGATTCTGGTGCCCGAGAGGGGGATGGGTACTAGGGTACATTGTCTCCCCGTGCCCAAAGACAAAAACCACCGACCACCCCATTTGCACTCCCCCGGGCCCGATATTCATAGTATACGATAGTATAATACCATAAAAACTCATTTCATACTCGCAAACTTTCACAGGTATCTTTTCGTCCACCGGGAATAACCCCCCCTTCCCCCGCCCCACGTCCAGCTAGCTAATAATACAATCGAAGGATCAAAAGGGAAAGAAGAAAAAAACTGCGCAAGGGGTTCCATTTCTCACATTGCCTTTACGAAACGACAGACGCCCAAACTTTACACCATTTTTTACGAACCCCAAAAAAAGAAAAAACCCCAAATACCCATTAGAGCTTTATGGAAGAGAGAGAAAGGAACCCCTCCCCAGGAAGAAACAAGCAGATGACTAAAAGGTTCTTGCAATGACTCGTTGTAATTCTGTTTTCACTCAATCAGAATACTTCCGGGCGGCCAGGTGCGATACTCGCGGGGGCGGCTAACACACCTATTCCAAATCCTATCAAACATTCCCACTATACCCGCCAGCAAACTCCCTTCTTCTCTGGGCCCACTTCCTCCCCTCATCGACCCAAAATACCGAAGTAGCGATCGCTAGTAAAATCCCCAAATCCTTAAACGACAGCGTTTCCGTCTGGAATATATTCTGCAAGCCGGGAACATAAATAACCGCCATCTGTCCGACGAGACATCCGATAACGGCATAATTGAACATTTTGTTCCCGAAAATCTTGATCTCGCCCTTCAATATCGATTTCGATTCCGAGCGACAGGACAACGCGAGCGCCATGTCAAACAGAACGAAACAGGTGAAGGTCATGGTGGTATCACGTGCTGTGACAACACCATCATGCATTTCCAGGACGTAGACAAATATCGTGCCGAGTAGGATAGTTAGTGCAGAAGTGAAGATTCGCAAGAGGACGGGTCTGGTTAATATTTGCTCGTTGCGGGAACGTGGTGGTCGCGTCATCACGGCTGGGTCTACTGGTTCCACTCCTAGGGATTGTGCGGGGGGGCCATCCATCAAGATATCTGTTTAAAAGAGAAACGCTGGTTAGCAATCGGTATAACGCGGGGACGGAGGTCGCACAAAGAGAGGTAAAGCCTACTTATCCATAAAATTTGCATGGGATTTAATGGGTTGGGCAGTCCGACAAATGTGCATAAAAGAACCAAGCTCAAGGCGGCGATGCTGGTACTGAGTTGAAAGGTTAGGAAATTTTGAATGTTGTAAAAGATTCCTTTGCCTTCTTCAATAGCACTAAGGATAGTGGAGAAGTCGTCGTTGGTTAGAATCATATCAGCTGCCTCTTTAGCCACATCGGTTCCCTGCAATCCCATGCTGATGCCGATATCTGCCATTTTAAGCGCAGGGGCATCATTAACCCCATCACCCGTCATGGCCACAACTTCTCCCCGCGACTGAAGTGCGCGCACAATTTTCATCTTATGTTCGGGAGAAGTGCGGGCAAAGATCGTCGTAGTGGCAATTGCTTGTGCAAGTTGAGCGTCTGTCATAGCATCTAAGTCCTCACCTTTCAAAACAGGCCGCACAATACCGCCGTGCCCATGGCTGTCGGGAAGGATTGGCATTCCAAGCTTCCTTGCGATCGCAACCGCGGTTGTCTCGGAATCACCGGTAATCATCATTACTTTAACACCGCCGCGCATCAATCGTCTGACTGCAGACTTGACACCCTTTCGAGGGGGATCAGACATGCCAACTGCCCCAGCAAACGTGAGGCCCCTAAATATGGGATCGTCGTTTCCGCTGGCATTCCCAAGATTCCCCGGGATCGGAGAGCCTTGAGCAAACCCTATGACTCGTAGTCCTTCTGATGCCATTTTTTCAGCAGCCGCCAATGCATTCTTCCGTTGTTTCTCATCCAAAACAATCTCTCTTCCCTCTCTCGTCAGGTAGGCATCACATCTTGCAAGAACATGCTCAACCGCACCCTTGATATATGGCTTGCGCTCACCGTCCTCATTGCGAACTACGGCGCCCATCCATTTCCTTTCAGAGGAAAATGGAATGTCTGTTACTCTTTCGGTACGTTGCCTTGCATCGGAATCCCCGAATGCATCCATTAAATCCAACAAAGCAACATCGGTGGCATGTCCAACGAACCGAGAGTCAGTGCCGGTATTTGTAATACCAATTGCCGCAGCCGCCACAGTCGAAGCACTTGTTGAGGAAAGCCGAGCATTGTTACATAAATTGCCAATTCGTATAATGGCTTCTGTCGCAGCATCCCTGGTGATAGGGGGCTCAAGGAGACTCGCTTTTTCCACTGGCAATGGAAGATCTGGTGTCCATAATTGGGTGACGGTCATGTGGTTCGTTGTTAGGGTGCCTGTCTCCCGTTAGAAGCTGCTGCAATTAGATTTGTAAAATGTAATACCAGTTTTATCACTGCAAATAACGGAAACACATCCCAAGGTTTCTACACTCGGCAATCTCCGTACAATCCCCCCCCGCCGTACCATCCGCAGCACTCCCAAGGCTAATGTCACTGTTACGATGATTGGCAAGCCCTCCGGTATAGCCGCAACCGCCAAAGAAACCCCCACTTGGAACATGTCAAGCCAGCCTCGCCCTTGCCATAATCCTAGGAGAACGATAACTCCAATAACACCGAAACTAGCATAACTTAGATCTTTGCCCAGTTTATCCATGGAACTTTGCAGAGGAGTTTTAGGTTTGCTGATTCCGGCAAGCATCGCTGTGATTGTACCGAATTCGGTTTTGGAGCCGGTGGCTATCACTATTCCTTGACCATTGCCGCTGCGTACTAGTGTTCCCATAAATGCAATACATGTCCTTTCAGACACGGAGATATCCGACAGAGTAGGATTAAGCGCATCCCGTGGGGTAACGGCTTCCACCGTTTTCTTCACGGGCTCGTTCTCGCCGGTCAAATTGGACTCATCGATTTCTAAACCGGCTGCATTGGTGATACGGATGTCCGCCGGAATTCGATCCCCAGTTGAGAATATCACTAGATCACCCGGAACCAATTGCCCAGCCATAACAGTGGAAGATGCGGGCGATCCGGATTCTCCATCCGCGGGTCTACCCCGGACTAGATGCGCGTAATGGGGAACAAGCTTGTTCAAGGCCTCCAAACTTTTCTCCGATCGGTACTCCTGGACAAAGCCCACGGCAACAACAATGACCACAGCCAAAGTGATGCTTATTGCATCCTCCATATTTCCCATCATGAAAGAAACCGCTGCGCTCCCGAGAAGTAGGAGGATGAGGGGCGATTCAACAAACTGCTTGAAAAATCGCACATACAACGACTCGTCATCTCCATGGGGCAGTTCGTTGGTCCCGTGGATCGATCGACGGTATATAGCATCTTGAGAGGAAGTCAGACCATGTTTCAGGGAAGTTTGGAGCTTCAAAGCTGTCTCTTCGGGGGTGAGGAGTGCGTAGACCGCGGAGGGGGGCTAAAGGAGAACCCATATCAACAGGTGAGCGATAAAATAGGGCTTGGGAGGAAGAAGTTGAAATCTAAGCTTACGGATGCTAGTGACACATTACTTCCGTTGGCAGAAGCATGAAAGGGCGACGCGGTAAGGCTGCGGAGTGGGATTCCAAGCGGGGTGTTTGACCGAGGTGAAGAACCCATTTACCTCTAGGGGCAATAGGATAGTGCTTCCGCAGTGGGGAGGTGTGAGATGACCGAATTCGGCGGCGTTGCGGAAGCTACAGCATCAATCGAAGCGATGATTATGAAGGGTATTCCGTGGGGCGCTGGGCGGAGGAGAAGGCGAAGGCGGAGGAGGCGGAGGATGGAATACTATTGAAAAAGGAAGGAGGCTAAAGGAAGAAAGAAGGGAGGGGAAAGGGAAAGGGAAAGGGAAAAGAAAGGAGTAAGAAAGGAGCCACCGCTTTCTCTGTTCTTGGTGGGAGGTTGACAGGCAGCGGGCAATGCACATGTAATCTAAGGCTGGTGTTGCGGGCAGCGAGTAACAGGTACCAGCGGTGAGAGGGGGTGAAGGACGAACACGAAGGCTCGGTTACAAGGGTGGTGTCACAACGCCAGGCTATTTCCAGAAAAGGCGCGGAGGCCCGTCATGGTTCCTGGTTGCCAGCATCAGGCTAGACTTGAGACATCTACAGTACAATACCGGTACGAGTACTGAACCAGGACTCGTGCAGTGCTCCTACAGTACGGTAAGGTACTGTACGTGGGCACAAAAGGGGATCGATCAGTGACTTTGTGGCCATTCGGTATGTAAATATGGGGAATGCGATGGCGGATGGATGACTATATTTTCTGGCACAGGTATGCGAACTGAAAGGCGTTTCTTTCCCCATTGAAGGCTTGACCGGTTCTGTGGGTGGGAGATCCAAAATAGCGAATTGTGTGGACGGGCATGGGTATAGTACGGCATTGGTAATTCAAGGGTAGAATGCCGCAAGAAACGGAGGGGAGGGTAGGAAAGCCCATAGGCCCTGGTTAAAGATGTCTCCACACGTTTGATTCCTTTCTCCCCGGCCTCGGGAGCGAGTCTCGCTCATTCCTGTGGAACGTCAGGCGTCAGGCGTCAGGTCAGAGTTGATTGTATCCCATCCTATCTGATAAATCTTATCTGATCCATCGATCAAGATTAGATTTCCTGATCATAAGTTATCAGATGCGAATACCTGCCTCCTCTGTCTGTTATTTGTGATACCGACACAAGCATTTCGCAGTCCGCATCGCCTCCTCCACTGGCTAACATTCCCACATCCCTCATTTCAGACGACTCAGGCCGTCGCTCTTCACCACCACTCTTCCGTTCATGCTCTACCAAGCTTCTTTCTTCAATCCTATCATAACCCCACCAATCCTGCTCCCCTTTTCCCCTTCCACCGTTGGTAATCCTTCGGTGTGCTCCAGTTAACCGCCGCTGCTTCTGTCTTTTTGGCGCATCGTCCTTCATTTCCAACTCATTTCTCCCACCTTTTTCGTCTTCCTGTCACGGCGCGCTCTGGTGTCGCGTCATCGGTTGGCCAATCTCCTTTTCCCGCGGCAAGGGGAAAGCCTAGACAATAGTAGAGCGGGTAGCCGACCAATTCGTCACCTCTCCCAGCCCCCGTAATAACAAACGCGCCCACTTCCGTCCACGTAGGCTTCACCTCCTCCTCGCCTTGCAATCCGTGAAAGTTTCTCCTCCCTTCCTCGCTTTCCCTTCACCCTCGCTACTGTCACTATGTTTTATTCAGAAACTTTGTTGTCCAAGACCGGGCCTCTGGCTCGCGTCTGGCTAAGTGCTAATCTCGAGCGCAAACTCTCGAAAACACACATTCTACAATCTAATATCGAATCGTCCGTCGGTGCTATTGTTGGTCAGGACCAGGCTCCTATGGCCCTGCGTTTGAGCGGCCAACTACTCTTGGGTGTCGTCCGAATCTACTCTCGCAAAGCCAGGTACTTGCTCGAGGACTGTAATGAGGCCCTGATGAAGATAAAAATGGTTCGCTCCTCGTCTATTTAACTCTACCACCTTCCCCCCTTCACAGGCGGTCTTCTAGTCACCCATGTGTATTCCTAACGCGTCTCTTTCCAGGCCTTTCGCCCGGGCGATGTTAATTTGCCTGCCGGCGCTACTGCACATACCGCTGCTCAACTCACGCTCCCCGATGCCATCACAGAACTTGATTTGCTATTGCCTGACCCAACCCTGGATCTGGGTGACATAGGCGAATTACCCTTCGATTCCGATGCGCATCTGTCTCGAAGGCAAATCATTACCCTTGCAGAGGACAGCAGCCAATTTCTGCAGGAATCCATCGAAATGGAAGTGGGGCGTAGGGGCCCCGAAGGGAAGGATATCGGCTTTGGTCTGCAACTTGATGATCTCGATCTTGATGTTGGCGACGAGGCTGAGACCCCAAGGCCACAGCGAGCTACCCCCGAGGTTGGAAGGAGAGAACTCCCGGCGAGGGATTTTAGAGACGACCTGTTGTCGGAAACTATGGAAGTGGAATATGAGGCAGAAGCAAAGAGGGATGAACCTGAGATAGGGCTTGCGCCCCCGGAGGAAGATTTGGGTCTGGAGTTTGAGCCTGGCATCGGATTCGAAGGCGAGATTGGTCTAGGTGAAGGTGATCTGACAATTCTTGGGGCGCCGAGTGAGGTTGGTAGAGCCTCCCCTGTAGCCCCACTTCAGATTGAGCCGCCAGAATCAGTTCATGAAGCCCCATCGATTCATGATGTTCCGCATTTCGCACGTGACTCTTCGGAATCCCCGCTTTCTTCAGCCCGTAGCAGCGTTGTGCGCGACCTCGAGGCAGACCTTCAACAGCAGGGCAGTTTTGTGGATATCAGCTATATCGACGAGGCTCTTCGTGAGCCGAGTGAGGAACCGGAAGAGATACTCGCACACCGACGCCAGGTGCGTGGGAGAAGAGTTATGGTTGACTCTGTGACGGAAATTCGCGCGAAGCAGATTAAGGCTCAACAGGAAGATCGCAGTAAGATTTTGATTGAGCCTAACTTTTTGCCCAGAGATCCCGGGCTTTTGGCCCTCTTGAGCTTGCAGAAGACTAGGGGTTTCGTGCAGAATGTATTTTACCCCAAGAACATAGCCCCCGAATTGGCTAGCTTCTTGAGCCCTGAATTCGTGAGAAGGATGGCCGAACTCAAGAGAAAGAGGGAAGGTGAGGGTGAAGAAGCTATGGAGCGTGCCGAGGGCCCGAGCCCGGTGAAGCACCCTAGATTGGAAATTGAGGAGGGTGAGGAGGAAATCTTGCCCCCTCCTGAGGATGTGGAGGAACGTGCCAGAGCGGAGGCCGCAGCAAGCCCCGAAGAAGGCGCAGGCGATGAAATGTTTGAATTTCCTCAACCCGAACCGGCCCCACCAATGGCTATGGAAGAGGAAAGTTTTGTGGGATTACCTGGTATGATACTCTGTTTCCCTGCACACCCAACACCCGAGTCGTATTTCTGTGTGGCTGATCGTTCCACCTATAGCGCCATCCTCCCCGGCCGCTCTACCTCCCCTTGAGGAGGCCTCTCCCGAACCTGAAGTCGAGCTACCGCAGGTCGCCCAACCCCTCTCTCAGCAAACGCGAGCCGCCGTCCATCTCCTGAGAGAACAATTCTCCGAGCCCTTGGCAAAGAAACAGGTTGTCTTCCAAGACCTCCTCCCCCATGAATCCACAACTGCAACCGACGCCACAAAGATGTTCTTTGAAGTGCTCGTCCTAGCTACCAAGGACGCCATCGGTGTAAAGCAAGACGGTGGATTCGGCAGGATTGAGATCTCACCGAAAAAGGCACTGTGGGGCGCCTGGGCGGAGGAGAAGGATGAGCAGCAGATCCAGGAAGAGAAAGAGCAACAGCAAGAGGAGGAGAATGCGAAAGAGGGAGGAGAGGGCCAACATCGTGGCAGGGAGATGGTCGTTGGAGTCGGCAGGACTGCGGCTGAGGGGACTGCGGCTGCCTGAGTTTTCCATAAATAATGGGGATAGGGGTTTGTTACGGAAAAGGGAGTTGGGTGTTTTTCTTCTCTTTTTCATTTCATTTCATTCTTTTGCTTTTGTTTTACCTCCACCCTTCGTATCACCTCTTGCTTACCAACCTGGATGGGTAATGATCTTTTTCTTCTTTTGGACAGTAGTGGGAGGGATGTTGACCTTTTGGAATTCTGTGAAAAAGGGTTGGTAGTGGCGAGCAGTATGTGGATGGGATAGGATAGACAAAGATACCATATTCGAGTTCGTATTGGGGGGGAAAGAGAGAAGGGAAGAAGGAAAGAAGGGGAAAAAATCATATCCTTGATGATCTCTTTTCTTTTATCCTTTTGGATTGGATCAGAGGCTAAGTCGTTATTTTGTTTTCTCATGTTCATGGACAACCTCTCTTTCTTTCTTTACCTTCCTTCTATGCGCCCGGTTGTGTGTACTGTATGGGTTGTATATTACAGCAAAGCAGAGCAGAGCGAAACAATGCCACGAGAAACGGAGGAAGTTTTTCTTTTTTTCTTTACTTTACTCTGCTTTTCGAGGTTCCTTTTTCCTTTGTATTGTTCTTTTTGAATCGTGTATGTTTGGAACCCCTGCCCTGGTCTTGTGGGGGTTGTACTGTACTCTATGTTGGTTCCTTGTACTCCGGGTAATATAAGCTAGTTGAAAATTGTTTTTGGATTTTGACATTGCAATGAGCAAATTTGGGCCTTGTTGGGCACGCCAACTTTGATAAAGCAAAGCATTCAAGTTACAAGCTCCTGGTTGCAGGGCGTGCGTTGCCCAACACCTTTAATAATAATAAGAATAAATGATATAAATTAGAGAGGACAAGAGAAGTATTCCTTGTAAGGCATACTTAGATATTGCACATGTGACATATTTAGGAATCATGTGGAATTATGAGTTACAACTATTTATAATTGAATGAATAGGAGTAAGTCTTAAAAGACTTACTTGAATTTCACATATATGACTATCAGGAGTCATAGGACTTTGAAGCTTAAGATTATTAGTTTAGTGACAGTGTACATGACTAAGTTTAGATTAAAGTCATGTGATTTGATAATTATATACATAACTAGGTTTAGGGTTACATGATTATACTATTTTACATATAGGATAGTTTGTAGTTGCTGTATTAAGTGATTAACGCTATTAGTAGTTGGACAAAAGCAAGGATTAGAGTTGTAAGAGGAGGTCTATATAAGAAGGAGGTTTATACCTAGTTGTATAGCTTCTTATACAATTATCTATTGTTTTTTCCTATTTATAATTATAATAATATTATAAATAAAATCTTTGTTCTTAACTTTTCATATACCTGTAACGATCCCCCTTCGGATAGTTAGTTGTTGGCAACAGAGAACGATACCTCTCTTCTTCTGTCTTCTTGCCTTACAATAGCATTAGGCCTCTGCTGACATTACCGATAGTACAAGACCTTTGTCTTCTATCAGGAATACCTATCATAAGCTTTCTCTAACTCTCCTTCTTGAAGAGTATTCTTATCATAGTAGCAATAAAGATGGTGATAATGATAAAGAGTATAAAGGTGATTGATATTTGTTAAAGTAATAAGTAGAGAAAGTACTTAGAAGTCAATCTAATTTTATTTAAACTCATACTACTAATACTGGCATATGATGAGCTCCAGCTAGCATAGGGATACTGCTAACTGGTATACTACTAATCCTAAGCTAACCAGATCTACTACCCAGCACCTACTATCCCCAAGTTATGCCTGCATGAGAACTAATTACAAGACCATCAAACAACCCAGCTCTCTCCCTGGTCCAAGTCTATAGCCCCTCTGGTAAGGAGCAACCTAGCACTAAGGGTGGCTGAAGTAGAACAAAAGACCAACCTGATTAGGTTCCTCATCCAACAAACATACAAACACTGCCACTCAGTCTGAATACTATCGTGCAAAACCTCCACCATAGTAGAAAACTAACAAAACAAACTAATCCTACAGATGATACAATTGCAGGGAGGAGGTAACTAACATGTCCACCTCTCATACCTGTATGACAGGCCATCTATTCTATGAACCCACTTTGCCAGTTGTCCCCGAAGAGCATACCGGTAAGGAGGACCTGTACCTACTACCAGTTCTCCAAACAAACACAACAAACAAAGGAAATACATAGAGGTAATGATAGACCAATAATGGTCAATAGTATCTATCTCCTACTAGTAGTGCCATGCTCCCTCCCGCTAACCCCGTAGCCAAATTAAAGAAATTAAACAAGCCCCACAAAACCTACCATGCAAGATCTAAACAAGTCTAATCAGGTGGTTATAATCCACTATGTATGGTTAGGAATACCAGGATCTAATACCTAAGAGTCACCCTAAGAAGGGTAATCTCATCCAGAATCGGAATCTCTGGTCTCCAATGCCCCCCTCCGGCCCACTTATGGGCCCGCATGTTATCATATATATCTATTTCAGTTGCATCCTGTGACTATAATATTACAGAATTGAAGGTATTAGAATAATACTGTATATGTTGCTGCCGTCCATCCGACCAGATCCTGTTCGCAGGTTATATGAGAGGGAACCTTCAGCTAGGTCTGAGAAGTAGAATGGAGTAAATTGGTCATTGACTCAGAGAGTTACTAGGCTTCAAAAATGTAATATCTTTAGTATGAGCTGTAAGTAACAGGACATTATCATACAAAGAGAGATATCAAATAATAAAGAATCTCAATAAAAGACCAATACATTCACATCTACCCAATAATATCTAGAAGAATCTAGAACTCTGAGGGACACTACCATAGAAGCTAATGGACTTCACAGAGTGTTACAACTAGGTTTTGGAATACGATGTAGTTACAGGAATAATGTCTAATACAACAACAGTTGTTGAAACCCTGTTACTTAGAGTAACTAAGGGTTGCTGACCAAGGGAATATTTGTCAATCCGGTGGAATAGTTTTGTGCGAATTAGTAGGAAATCCATTGAAAGATATGTATCAATTGAGTAAGGAGTTATAAAGATTTGAAGTCAGAAGAACTAAAAGGTTACAATTACGACTACCTTTGGAGATGCAACTCGCAGATAAAACTGATCATTTGATTAATGACAGAGACAATTGAAACCAGCTGAGTTCAACTTAAAAGAACTAGACTACAAGTCTAAAGACTCTAATGATTGGAAAACTACTATTGAGAACAGTATGGTTCCAAGTTAGTTATATTGTAATAGCCAAAGAGAGTGTGGTGATTTTCACGGTCTTCAGGCGTTCACACCTTTTAAGAATACCCTATATTACAAGTTATAATCAGAGAGGTACATAGTTGTATACTAAATAGATGTAGTCCATAAACACTCAAATACAGAATATAAATATCCAAGTGTCTCTCAAGCTTTAGACATCATCAAGCAATGGAGAAGAAATCTTAACAATATAATATTATTTTTATGACTCTATCTTACTTTACCGAATTGACTTTGCTCATAGTAGTTAAAAATGAAATGAGTGAATTCGAGCCTTCCTAGACAATCTCTGTCTACAGAAATGAAGCTTGGTTGGCTCAGATAATTCTAAAGTCTATCCAATTATCTTCTCCTAACATTCACACAGGTGGCTATCAACCCACTTTGCTGTCAGTATTCGGCAGAGACAACCTGATAGACTTCAGAATTGTCTAGGCCAATGGAAATTCGTTTCTGTAGATGGAGATTGTCTAGGAAGGCTCGAGTTTGCTCTTTTTGTTTATGACTTACTAAGAGCAAAGTAGATTTGGTAAAGTAAGATAGAATCGTAAAAACACTATTATATTGTTAAGGTCTCTTCTCTGTTACTTGATGATGTTTAAAGCTTTTGGAGGCACTTCGATATTTATATTTCATGTCTGAGTATTCGTGGGCTACTTGTATTTATCATACCACTATATACCTTTCTGATTTTAACTCGCAACGTCGGGTATTCTTGAAAGGTGTGAACACTTTGAGACCCTGAAATTCACCACACCCTCTTCGCTAATTATGATATAACCAACTCGGAACCATACTGTTCCTAATATTAGTTATTCGATCTCTAAAGTCTTTAGACTTGTGGCCTAGTTCTCAAGTTGAACTGAGTTGGCTCCAATGGTCTTTGTCATAGATGAAATAATCAGTTTTACCTGCAGGTTGTGTAACGTGTTCGCAAGGTGCTAATCACGTTATCGGTAAAGGTATAATAGTTGACAGGTGGCCTGCTCTTCCAGAGAGGAGGCGAGAGCTGAGAACTAAAGGAGGCTTCGAGGGTGTACTGAGGAACAAAGAAGTAACCGTTCAACCAAGTATATTGAAATACTGTCTGTCGAAGTCTGCCCTTTCTATCGTAGAAACAGGCGGTCTTTAAATACACAAATCTGTTCATGTCT